CAGCTTCCCTGAGCCTTGGGCACCCTCGCCATGGGGAGGCTGAGCATCTCATCTCGTTGTCACTCGTTCATGGGCCCGTGGCGCGTATCCTCCTGTGAATGCATGTCATTCTGCATTTTCTACATTGACTGTTTTTTTTCTCTTTGGTGAGCTTTTTTATATTTGGGAAATTAACCCTTAGTGACTTATACTACAAGTAGCCCCTGGCTTTTAGCTTCCTTTGTTGCTTTCTGCAACAGATTCATCCATCATTCCTTAATGGCTTTCAGAGTTTGTCAGACTGGAAAAGGCATCCCCTGCTCCAAACTTATAAAAACATTTACTCATTTCCATTTCATACTTTCATAGTTTTACTTTCCATGTTTAACTGTTTGTTTTCTCAGTTGTCGACTGAGTTGCCCCAGCACTCGGGGAACATCCGTCTTTCCCCCATGTCTGCAACATGGCACTCCTCTGGGACCCCATGCACGCATGCTGTGCTACGTGTTCACCACTGTGAGACACCCTTCCATGTCAGAGGACTCGATCCCTCTGCTTTTCCAGATGCTTCCTGCCATTCTTACATTTTTATCCTCTTAGGTGACCTTTGGGATAATTTGGTCTGGCTCCCAAATCGACCTGTGCTCTTTTGTTTGGGGTCATACTGATTTGTTAGAATCAGGGAGAATTAACAACTTTATGTTACTGAGACTTTCTAATCCAAAACAAGACTCCTTTTATCTTCCTCAGAGGTTTAAAGCTTCTTCATTTAGAAACATGAACCTTTGGGGACTTCCCTGGTGGTCCAGTGGTAAAGAATCTGCCTTCTGGGCTTCCCTGGTGGCGCAGTGGTTGGGGGTCTGCCTGCCAGTGCAAGGGACACGGGTTCGATCCCTGGTCTGGGAAGATCCTACATAACGTTGAGCAACTAAGCCCATGCACCACAACTACTGAGCCTGTGCTCTAGAGCCCGTAAGCCACAACTACTGAGCCTGCGTGCTGCAACTACTGAAGCCCGCACGCCTAGAGCCAGTGCTCCGCAACAAGAGAAGCCACCGCAATGAGAAGCCCGCGCACCGCAATGAAGAGTAGCCCCCTCTCGCTGCAACTAGAGGAAGCCCACACGCAGCAACAAAGACCCGACACAGCCAAATATAAATAAATAAAATAAATAAATTTATTTAAAAAGAGAAACATGAATCTTTTGGGACTTCCCTGGTGGTCCAGTGGTAAAGAATCCGCCTTCTGGGCTTCCCTGGTGGCGCAGTGGTTGGGGGTCTGCCTGCCAGTGCAGGGGACACGGGTTCGAGCCCTGGTCCGGGAAGATCCCACATGCTGCAGAGCGGCTGAGCCCGTGCGCCACAACTACTGAGCCCACGAGCCACAACTACTGAAGCCAGCGCCACTAGAGCCCGTGCTCCACAACATGAGAAGCCACCGCAGTGAGAGGCCTGCGCACCTCGGCGAAGAGTAGCCCCCGCTCGCCGCAACTGGAGATGGCCCGTGCGCAGCAACGAAGACCCAACACAGCCAAAATTAAATAAATAAATTTTTTAAAAATTAAAAAAAAAAAGAATCCGCCTTCTAATGCAGGGGACGCGGGTTCGATCCCTGGTCGGGGAACTAAGATCCCACATGCCACGGGGCAACTAAGCCCACGTGCTGCAAACTACAGAGCCCATGCACCCTGGAACCCGTGCACTACAACTAGAGAGAAGCCCGCGTGCCACCGCGAAGATCCCGCGTGTCGCAACTAAGACCTGACACAGCCAAAAATAAAAACAAAAATTAAATAAATAAATATAAAAAGTAAAAATAAAATAAGAAACATGAATCCTTTTAGGGTTCTTAATACACAGGACGTGTTCTATTTTTCAATTACTGCCTAATAAGTTACCTTATTTTAGTGGCCAACTTAAAACAGCGCACACATCACCTCTGGCTCCACGTGTCTGGAGTCTAAGCTACAATCCAGCTGTCGGCCCGGCCGTGCCCTCATCTGGACCTGGGGACCTTCCACGGCCACTCAGGTTGTAGGCAGAGTTCCTTTCTTTGTGTGCCAAGGACGAAGCCCCTTTCCTTGCTGGCTGGCGGCTCTCACATCATGGGAGCCGACTTCTTCACAGCCACGTCTCTGACACTTTCACCTTTTTCAAAGGCTTCTCTGATGAGGTCAGGCATGCTCAGGAGAAGCTCCAATTTGATTAAGTCAAAACCAACAGGTTACTACCCTGATCCCAGGAGCCCAGCCCATTCCTACTCACAGGCTCTGCCCACATGTAAGGGAGAGGCTCCTACAGCCTTGTTCAGAGGGCAGTGATGGGGCTCTGGAATGCTGCCTTCCATGCTACCACACTGCCTTCAGGAAGGAGTCTGACTTCCACCAACAGTGTGTCCAGGCTCTCCGTCTATCATGTGTTATTCTCTGGCCTCTCGTTTTTGTTGCAAATACTTTTTGAGCTTACCATTTGTTTTACATTTGTTTATAGAGGGCTTAGGGAGATGTTTTACATTTTAATGTAGGCAAATCCTTCAACATTGCTCTGTAATATCTTTGCTTTGAGGAATCAGAATAAAATTTACGTCTTATTTTTTGCAGCCACCGTTTTTTTCCAGCAAGGAAATTTTTTTTTAGATGACCACACACTGTCATCTGGAAGATGGTTCTAGCCGTTCTTTCCCTCTACCCTTTGAGTCACCTGTATCAGCTGATAGTAAGTCTACCTTTTTAAAAAATTTAAGCATAGCTGATGTACATGTAATCACTGTTTACATCCACTCTTAAACCATCCGGAGTTTATCAGCATACAGCAGGAGGCCACAGTCCAGCTTACGTTTCCTCTTAAACCATCCGGAGTTTATCAGCATGCAGCAGGGGGCCACAGGCCAGCTTACGTTTCCTCTTCAAACGCTACGCCGTGTTTCTAGCACGGTTTATTATATAATCCTTCCTTTTCCCACTTACTTTTGGTGCCAGGTGTATTGTGCTCTGATGATATATAAACATACATAATGTTCATACACACACACTCTTGTCCATGTTTTCTGTTTCAATGACCTGCTGTTCTTATATAGGAATCATGTTATTTTAATTATTATAATTTCTGATGTATTTTTATTTATTTATTTATTTATTTTTAAAGAATCATCTTTTTTAAAAAATTTATTTTTGGCTGCATTGGGTCTTCTTTGCTGCACACAGACTTTGTCTAGTTGCGGGGAGTGGGGTCTAGTCTTCGTTGCACTATGTGGGCTTCTCATTGCAGTGGCTTCTCTTGTTGTGGAGCACAGGCTCTAGGAGTGTGGGCTTCAGTAGTTGTGGCACACGGGCTCAGTAGTTGTGGCTCGCAGGCTCAGTAGTTGTGGCTCGCAGGCTCTAGAGTGCAGGCTCAGTAGTTGTGGCTCACGGGTTTAGTTGCTCTGCGGCGTGTGGGATCCTCCCAGACCGGGGCACGAACCCATGTCCCCCGCATTGGCAGGCGGATTCTTAACCACGGTGCCACCAGGGAAGTCCCTGATGTATTTTAAAACATTTTACTTTAATATTATAAATTCAGAGAAAGTTGCAAAAGTAGTCCAGAGAGATCCCCGTACCTCCGTCCATTCTCCCTCAGTGGTAGCACCATAAGTAACTGCAGTAGAATAAGGCTCCGTGTGGCACAGTGTGTGTTCTGTGCCATGTGATCACATGTCACCACCACCACGATCCAGACACAGGACTGCTCCAGCATCACAACGATCACGTTCATGCTATACTTTAAAGTCACACCCCCGGCCCCCGCCATCCCTAACCCTGGCAGTCCCTAGTCTGTTCTTATCTGTATCATTTTGTCATTTGGAGAATGTTACATGAATAAAATCGTACAGCATGTGACCTTTTGAAATTGGCTTTCTTCAGCATATTTTTTGACAGTTAAAAATGCAGTACTTCGGGCTTCCCTGGTGGCGCAGTTGTTGAGAGTCCACCTGCTGATGCAGGGGACGCGGGTTTGTGCCCTGGTCCGAGAAGATCCCACATGCCATGGAGCAGCTGGGCCCGTGAGCCATGGCCGCTGAGCCTGCGCGTCCGGAGCCTGTGCTCCGCAACAGGAGAGGCCACAACGGTGAGAAGCCTGTGTACCGCAAAAAAAAAAAAAAAAAAAAATGCAGTACTTCTTCAGAAAGAGAAAAACAAATATCGTATACTAACGCAGGTATGTGGAACCTAGAAAAATGGTACAGATGAACCGGTTTGCAGGGCAGAAGTTGAGACACAGATGTAGAGAACAAATGTATGGACACCAAGGGGGGAAAGCTGCGGGGGGGTGGGGATGATGGTGTGCTGAAACGGGCGATTGGGACTGACATGTATACACTGATGTGTATAAAACTGATGACTAATAAGAACCTGCTGTATAAAAAACCAAACACACAAACAAACAAGAAATGCAGTACTTCTATCAGATGAGGATACTTCTTAGCATAACCACAACAGCACTGTCACATCTCAGGATATTATCGTCAACTCTTTGTTATCACCTAATACCCAATTGGATTTTCTCCAGAATGGCGTAGCCCAGACCCACACACGGCTTTTTGCTCATAGGTCTCCCAAGGCTCCTTCTAACAGTCCTCTCTGCTGTGACTGAAAGGCTGTATCCCCCGAATTCATATGTTGAAGGCCTAGTCCCCAGTGTGCTGGTATTTAGAAGTGGGGCTTTTGGGAATTAATCAGGTTTAGATGAGGCCATGGCCACGTGAGGACACAGCAATCGGGCAGCTGTCTGCGGGCCAGGGAGGGGTTCTCACAGGAGCACAGCCAGACTGAGGGCCTCCCCAGCCTCCAGAACGAGGAGAAACAAAGTCTGTTGTTTAAGCCCCCCAGCCCATGGTATTTGTTTGTTTTTTTTTCTTTCTTTTGTTTTTTTTGCGGTACGCGGGCCTCTCACTGCTGTGGCCTCTCCCATTGCGGAGCACAGGCTCCAGACGTGCAGGCTCAGCGGCCATGGCTCACGGGCCCAGCCGCTCCGCGGCATGTGGGATCCTCCCGGACCAGGGCACGAACCCGTGTCCCCTGCATCGGCAGGTGGACTCTCAACCACTGCGCCACCAGGGAAGCCCAAGACACCACCTTTTTTACAAGTCATTTATTTGTAGAAAAATCAGAGTTCTTTTTTCAGAAGAATCTGCAGCGTTTTGGAATTGGCTGACTGCCAGCTCGTGGTGTTCGGTCTGTATAATGTATGTTTGTGGATTCTGTAATGCGAAATTTGAAGCACAGACAGAAGCAGTGGGAATAGTACAATACAACTCATCGCCCAACTGCCAAAGTCCTCATAAACCCCAGGCAAAGCTGACCTCACTCCAGCTCTTCCCCTGTGTGCTGGTTACTACAGCTGAGTAGTGGCTCACCCCAGACCTCAGCAGCTTGAAACCACCATTTTCTTACCGTTTTATGGCTCAGGAATTCAGGAAAGGTTCTACTGCAGTTGTCACCTGTGGTTTCCCAGGGGCTGCAGTCAGATGCTGTCTGAAGGCTCAGCTGGGCTGGACACGTGGATGTCCACTCGCAGGGCTGCTACGTGCTGTGCAGTGGCTCGGCTAGGGAGACTCCAAGCCTGGGGCTGGAGTCACGACAAGCTCGTCACAAGCCCGGCACCTGGGCTGGACGGGCTGCGAGATCAGGACCGCGGGCTGCGGCTCCCCTGTGGCCTGCCCAGCAGCCGAGCACTTCCCAGCACAGTGGCTCCCAGCACAGCCAGCGTCCCCGTGAGCCCGGCCAGGCCGCCCAGCCCACAAGTCACTTCCACCACTCCACTGGTTACAGGAGAGTGTCAGGCCTTCAGAGATTTGGAGATGGGACGTAGACCCCCAGGTCACACCACAGGACCCGTGGGCTGAGAGGGGCTGTAGCACCTGCAGAGACAGGTGCACCCCTTCCCGTGGCAGCAAATCCCCACCCAGCACGTCCATTTGCCCTTAAAATACTTCGGGTGCGGCTCTAAGAGACAAGGACTCATGCGTATTCCATGTTGTCCACGGCATAACTCACACTAGACAAAACGCAGGGTCCTTACTGTTCAGCGGGAGAGTTTTCCACAACTGTACGCACCCGTGTCATCACGCAAACGAGATGCAGAACTTTCCTCCACCCCACAAAGCTCCCACGGGCCCTGTTCCAGTCAGCTAGCCTGCCCCGGCCCCAGCCCAGCAATCATTTTCTGATTTCTACCCAACAGTGGTAAAACCTACTTTTTAAATTGTATAACACACAGAATTTTTGACTTGTTGACCTTTCTATTTCTCTGAGGCTTTTATGGCATTAGGATGACTTAAAGAAACGTGACTTCCGAAAGTTGTCACTTTCCCAAATCTAATAGGGGAATTCCTCAGCTTTAAAACCAGAATGTGGAAGAGAAGATGCTCCTGCCCTACTTGAGGTGTTGCTCCTGGCAGACCAGGTCCTGTCCTCACTCCCGACTCCCAGTGCCTCTCGCTGCAAGGCCAGCAAGACCAGCTGCTGGTCTCATTCGACAGTCTTCTCTGAGTTTACTCCACCTCGCTGCAGCATTCAACACTGCCAGCTAGTTCTCCTTTCTTAACAGCTTTCTTCAGTACAATTTAAATACCACAAAATTTACCTGTTTAAAGCATGCAATTAAATGGAATTCAGTAAACTTTCAAAGTTGGGCAACCATTGATTCAGTTTTGAGACTACTTCCATCACCCTCAAAAGGGCCCTTGTGCCCTCTTGTGACCGATCCCTGTACCCACCCTTAGCCCAGGCTTCCCTCCATATGGATTTGCCTTTGCAGGACTTTTCATATAAATGGAATAGGAATCTATATCTGGCTTCTTTCACTCGCATCATGCTTTCGGGCGTCGTACACAGGGCGGCACATTCCTTGTGACTGCAGTCTCCACTCGCTTTCTTGAAACTCCATCCTCACTCCACCCCCGAAGTGAGAGTATGACACACACTGTTGGTGGAGTCCCCTGCCCACACCTTCCCTTGCTGGCAGAGGTCCAGCCCATCCTGGAGACACCGGGCACACAAGGCTTCTGGGGGAAGATTCTCCTTGCTGACACGAAGCAAGAAGTAACGCCTCTCACAAACTAGACGCAGTCCCACGTGTGTGACACCAAGAGCCGTCCAGCCCTCTGCGGACCGTGGACACAGAGGATGGCAGAGTGTAGACACACAGCCTGCGATGCTGCCACGCCGAGGGCCCTACCTCTGACCTCGCCTCTGTTTGGGGGGTACCGAGCCCCTCAGCACTAAAGCTGTGTCTGGATGGCTTTTCTGTGACTGACAGCCAAAAGCCTCCCGACAGACTAGTAGCAGTTTTCCAAACGTCCCCCCAGGACTCTGGCCCTTCCTGCACTCTTCAGCCCTCAAGTAAGGGCTCTTAAGTTGGGATCTGAAGTCCAGGCCTTGCCCCCAAGGCAAACGCCCTCATCTCAAACGTTTCCTGCCCTTGGTGACCCTCAGGGGGCTCGGTCTGAAGCTGTCTGTGCCCAGCTCCTCTCCCCTGCCAGGCGGGCATCCATCCTGCCCTTCCTTGTCTGACCCACCGGCCATGCGTCCTCACAGTCACCGAAGCCCACGGCCATGGCTCCCTGCTTTGCCCTCACACCCTATCACTCGGCAATTCCCGCCGCCGCAGCCTCACTGGTTCCTACCCAGTTACAGCAATGGGCCTGTGAGAGGCCTCTGTGCTGGAGACACAAACCCCATCGTTCCTCCCTTGGTTTAATTACCTAACAATTCCATTTCCACGACCGACATGATAAAACTGATGAAAGACTTCACATTCTGCTGCTTCTGTGGCTTCAACCCCGACCCACACCCAAAGGCTGTTACGGTGAGTAACTCTGCCCAGCTGTTTCACCAACATCCTATCCCCTCCGTGATCTCTGTGGCCAGGCAGAGGGCTCCCACGGGACCGTGCTCCGCAGGGGAGCAGCTTCCCAGGCTCTGTCCCAGTCTGTGGAATGCCGAAGGAACGACACTGGGGCCAAAGGCGTCCAGCCCTCGGGAGGACAGCAGGCCTGCTTGGGATCTGCGCACTGCTTAGCCCTCTTGCCTGTGTGTTCCGCATCTACCACGTGGGAACTCACCTAAACCTTGACTAAACTTATTACATCTTCCAACTAGAACTCTGATATTAAAGGTCCTAAAACCCCCTCCACCGTTAGGGCACGCCCCCTGCTACTAGCATCCCACCACAGGCTCCTGTGCGCCCCATCCCCAAACGCACCTCAGGTTCTGTACCCTCCTGGGTGTGTCCTACCTTCCGCTTCAGATGAAGGCCACTGCCGCTTGGCTGCCCCTTTCTTCTCATGGAAGCTCTCTGCAGGCTTGGTGTCTAGAGGCTTCTCAGACTCTTGTGAAGGCCTGTCCACCGGCCTTTCCGTAGCCTCTGGGATTGAACAGGTGCGCCCCGACTTTGGCTCCTCACCTGAAATATTTGGGTAATTAATTAGACCTGTATTTTACTGAGTCTAGGGCAAAGGATTCCATCCTTCTTCAGTCGCCTGCTTTGGTCCGGAATGAAATAAGATAGCGTGAAAGACTTGGGTCACTCCATTTCCCTACACGTGGATATTCCCCGGATGAAAAGGTCCCCGAGGCAAGCTCATCAGAGAGGACCCGGCGCAGGAGGATTTGTGGGGGCGGGGCCGCGCCGTGGAGACTGCGGGGCGGCGGCCCTTTACCTTTCCGGAGTTTGTGTTTGCTTTTGGAAAGTCCCATAGGTGACTGCCCCGCGACGCAGGCGCGGACCCTGCACCTCAGTGGGAGCCCAGCCCACTGACTCACAAAAGGCCCGGCCGCCGCCTCCCTGGCCCGCGCGGTCGCCACGGCAACGCCACCGCCCGCGATACCAAACCGTCCTCTCGCGAGAGCTCCCGGCCGCCGGAAGCGGCAGCGACCCGGCAGTACCTGCCCTCCAGCCCGCCAGCCCGCGCCGGTCGGTTCGGTTGACGCCGCCGGGAGATCCAGTCCGTCCGCCTCTGCCAGGGCTGCCGCTGCCGGACCGGCCATGGACGGTGAGAGGCCGCCGCCCTTCGGGGCCGCGCGGGGCGGGGCCGCCTCTCCCGTGGGCGGGGCTCAGGCGGGTGCCCCTGGCCTCGATCCCGGACCCTGGGCCCCGATCCCCGGTACCGGATCCCGGGGTCTCCACCCGGGACCCCGATCCCCGACACCATACCCCGGGACCCAGGACCCCGACCTCGACCCCGGGGCCTCGACCCAGGACTCCGATCCCCTTCCCTGATCCCCGACCCCCTTCCCCGGCCCTCCTCAGCCACCGTCTGCCCCTGCCCCACCTGCCCCTGCGGTACTGGTGAGGGACATCGGCCTTTGGGGGCCCTGGGATGCCGGGTCAGAGGGCACCCGAAAAGGAGACAGTTGCACCACTGCCCCCAGAACACCGCTAAGAGAAATAAGAAGAGCTCTGGCAGAAAGCCCTCACTACGTACAGGCACAACAGCTCTTGAGATAGGAACCGTATGCGCCCATTCTGCAGATGGGAAAACAGGTTGAGGAGTCCGTGCAGGCACAGGCCCCAGGAGCCCTGGTCCTCCACTGCCTGCAGCACCCCCTCAGGGCCCTCTGCCCTGCTCTCCTCCAGAACAGGAAGCATCAGTGATAAAATGAAGATACCGACATTTGCCAGGATATTTAAGTGCTAGTGTGGTAGAAAGGCTGTGCAGTGTTATTGTCATGAAGGAAATCCTATGCAGATTGCCTCAGGGAGAAGATGAACAGCTATACCCCCACCCCACGCGCGCGCGCGCACGTTGGGTTTTGCCTCACAGCTCACTCGGCTTCAGCTCTCCAGGGAATTGTTTTGCCTGTATCCCTTTTCTCCGGGGTTAGGTTTTGCCCTTCAGAGTCTGTGCTTCCCACTCAAGTCTGGGCCACACCCAGCCCAGCCTTGCTTTCCCGGCAGTGAGCACACTGCCTGCCACCTGTTTCTCCAGAGATGCAGACAGCTCTGGCCTTGACTAGGGCCCGCAGTGACAGGTGAGAGCTGCACGGAGCTCCACTGGGCTCGCAGCTGGGAGCCTTCACATACCTTTATGGTCCTGGATTCTGGTTGCAGGACTTCGTTTCTTCATTCCGGGCTAGTGTGGTACATACACCCTTTCAGAAATCATTCCCCCAATTTAGGAATGGGATATACACTGAGATAGTTTTAAGATGAAGGAGAATCTACCGAGCTCTTGAGTTTGGGCAAGTGAGCAGCAAGTTCAGATACCGAGGGACTTAGCCAGTAACACACACAGGTCTCCAGTTCCTCATTGAGGGTAGGGGGCACCTGAGCCTGATTCGATGGCTCAGAAATGGCAGCTCCCATGGAGAGCGGTCTCTGTGGGCCAGCTCTTTTATGGCGTAAGAGCCATCGCCGTGCTGTTTTATCCGTAAAGAATAGACTGTCGAGTACTAAACCTCGTTAAATTGGGGAGGGCTCCCAAGGGTCCTTTGGAAAGCTGCACTGATTACAAACCATCTCGAGTTTTCACCACGGGCCACACGCTGCACCCATGACATTCCCCCGCACGCTAACCCTTAAGGTCAGCTGGTACTATCCTGGTGTTTTCCTGAATTGGAGAGTCAGGGAGGCTAAGGAGGGGCAGAGCTGGTGTGAGTAGGCCTCCCTGAAGGCCCCAGTTCTGTTCCAGCTCTTCACGTCCAGGAGGGTCGTAGTGCCCCCACCAGCTGGTTAGGAGCGTTGCTTCTCACATTTCTTAAAATCCTCAAACCATCTCCTCTCTTTGCAGATACCCTGTTCCAGCTGAAGGTATGTACTGAGTGGCCCTTCACCCCATCCCGGCCTGCTGGTTGTCAGTGGGGACAGATGTTGTGAGTCACACTCAGGATCGTGCTCAGCCAGACTGATGACCGAGGGGTCAGGGAGGTGGTGTGCTAGCTTGTCTCGGGCTGAGCGGAAGCAGATCATTTGGTCTCATTCATGAGCGCGCGCGTGTGCGTCCCTTAATGTTCCACGAGGCGTTTAAAACGGTTGCCTCGAGTCCTTCAGAAACACGTGCAGGAGAGCATTCCGGGCAGCTGAGCAGTCCCCCTGCCCGGGGTGGTGTCGGCAAGCCCCTGCCCCAGTTCCCGTAGGGCCCTCCTAGGTGCCCATCCATGGTGGGTTCCGAAGGACAGGAGGAGTGACGGGCATCGGCCCCCGACTGTAGCAGCTGCACTGCCTCTGCTGTGGGGCCTCCAGGCCAGATTCCCAGGTCAGGAAAATCTGGACTTTTCCCTGAGGAACGTAGCTGGTCGGGGTGGACAGACAAGAAAGCTTTTTTCCACAACAAAACGTCCCAAGTGCATGGGGGCACCCAGGGCTGTGGGAGGGGCCCGAGGGCTGGGGACCCTCCCAGGTCGGTGAGTGATGTTGGCCAAGAGAACAGTGTTGACAGGACCAGAGTTAGGAAACTGGCCTCTGGAAGGCTGCTGTTCCCTTGGGTCATCTGAGTCTTCTCCCTGCCAGCTTCTGGTCACCTGAGGCCTGTGGAGGGCCACTGACCAGGGCTGGTCTGTGCGAGGTCATGCCAGGCGGTCCCTGCTGCAGCTGAGCAGCGGGTCCCAGGGCACCTGGCCAGAGTGGTGGACTTTGTTTAGAGGTGGCGGATGGTGGCCCAGTGTGTACTTCAGGCTGTGTGTGGAGGGCAGTGGGCGGGGGGCTGGGCAAGCCTGGACGCAGAAGGCAGAGGACAGAGCAGGCCACGGAGCCTCTGACATGAGCGGCCCCGTGTGGGTGGGGCAGGAGTGGGGCTCTGGGCGCAGAGCCGAGCTAGGGTAGCCCGACATGGCGATGCCTGACACCGGCCCCATCAGACACCTGGAATGTGGCTTGCGGGACTGAATTTTTACTTTCACTTAATTTTAGGTAATTTAAGTAGCTACGTGTGTCTAGTAGCTACTGCACTGGACCATGCAGGAAGAAAAAATGGTCAGCGAGTCAGGTGCTGCAGACATTGATTTAAAGGCCCCTCAGAATTGTGTCTGATGACCGGGAATCGGGGATGACTTTGGAGAGAGCGCCCTGTGCCCGTGAGCCTGAGGTTAGGGAAGTGTTGATCTGCACAGAGGCTGGACCACGGGAGCAGGGGAGACATTAGCCTGAGGCCTGGACACCAAGGCGGTCAAAGAGGGAGGGGTTTACGGTGGCAGCATCTGTGTGATGCTGGCCAAGGCCTGTGGGCAGTTTCTCAGTGTGCCCCCAGCTGCTGACCCGTGGAACAGGGAGCCGGTGTGTCGTGCTTCAGGCTGGTGGAAGGAGGGGCTGAGGCCGCTGGGAGCTGGGCTGTGTAGAGGGGGCACAAGTGCACGGACGGGCACCGACGTCCTAGTGGGCAGCGGATTGTCCAGCAGAGGCAGCAGTCGTGAGGGATCAGTGATGTCCACCCTCGGAACGAACTTACAGCCCAGGAGGGCGGGGAGCAGGATGGGGGGTGGGCCGGGTGGTGACCCAGCCTCCTGTCCGTCAGTTCACTGCAAAGCAGCTGGAGAAGCTGGCCAAGAAGGCGGAGAAGGACTCCAAGGCGGAGCAGGCCAAGGTGAAGAAGGTGAGTGCAGGCGCTGCCGCCGGGCCGGGCCTTTCCTCCTGTGGGTCCTGTGCTCCTCGGGCCTGGGCAGAGGCCGAACCCCTCTGTGGGGCGGGGCAGGGCTGGAGGCTCCTGGGGTTGCTGTGCTGTCCGTGGGGGGCTTTCTTACAGCTGGTTAGCGGCTAGAGTAGCTCCTGGGGTGCTGGGTTTGGATGACTCCTCAGCCAGACTGAGGCTCCCAGGGCAGAAGGGGAACGCAGCCGACATCCCAGTCTGAAGCCACGTCACCGCCATAGTCGTGATGCCTTTGGAATCAGCATTCCCTGCGCTGGCTTTTCAAGCTCTGCTGCTTCCAGGCGGAGCTGTCGTGTGAGGGCAGCTGAGTGTGTCGGTGGGAGTGGAGAGGCCTGGAAAGGTGGCCGTGTTTTCCTGAGCCCGGCTCTCTCGTCTGACTTTCTCTGAGGGCTGGTTGGGGGCCCTGCCCCTGGACACCCTCACTCCTGAGACATTTCTGATGAGAAAACCTGCAGAGAGGCTGAGAAGGGGCTGCCCCACAGCAGCAGACGGCGCCCCAGGACTGGCTGGGGCCGGGCCCCAGCTGGCATTTTCCCCTGCATTTCAGGCCCTTCAGCAGAAGAATGTGGAGTGTGCGCGGGTGTACGCCGAGAACGCCATTCGCAAGAAGAACGAAGGTGTGAACTGGCTCCGCATGGCGTCCCGCGTGGATGCCGTGGCCTCCAAGGTGCAGACGGCCGTGACCATGAAGGGGGTGAGTGCTAGGCCGGGCGCCACGTGCCCGGGGCCGGCTCCTGCTGGCAGAGTCGAGGGGGTGGCCCGGCGCAAGCGGTCAGGCCAGCATTCCCTCCCTACGGTAAGGGCGGTGCTAGAGCGGCAGACGCACCCCGAAGGCTCTCTCCAGAGTCCGTCCTTCCATTGACGGCGCCATCTGGGGACGTGCCATGCCGGGGGCGGGGGTGCGGGGGCCCTGAGGGCCCTGCCTGCCTCCTCACTCCCGCCTCTGCCAGGTGACCAAGAACATGGCGCAGGTGACCAAAGCCCTGGACCGGGCCCTCAGCACCATGGACCTGCAGAAGGTCTCTGCGGTAATGGACAGATTTGAGCAGCAGGTGCAGAACCTGGACGTGCACACGTCGGTACGTCGGCCCAGGGCCCGGGTGTGCGGGTGACGGCCAGGCGTGTGGCCCCTTCCCCTCCCGGGAACCTGGCTCCTCGTGGGGAGTCCAGACCGGCCCGCAGAGGTCCAGCAGGGGAGAGGGGGGCCTGGGGCCGGGGATGGGTGCGCGTGCAGGCAGCTGTGCCCCAGGACCAGCACGCCAGAGGGAGTGCGCTGGAGAGAGCGCCACAAGGGGGCTGGCGGGGGGAGGGAGCCACAGGAAGCCCTGACCGCCCGGCACACGACCCCCAGGTGATGGAGGACTCCATGAGCTCGGCCACCACGCTGACCACACCACAGGAGCAGGTGGACAGCCTCATCATGCAAATCGCCGAGGAGAATGGCCTAGAGGTCCTGGACCAGCTCAGCCAGCTGCCCGAGGGCGCCTCTGCCGTGGGCGAGAGCTCCGTGCGCAGCCAGGAGGACCAGCTGTCTCGGAGGTGGGCCAGGGGCACCTGTGCTGGGCGGGCAGCGTGCTGGGCGGGAGCTTGGGAGGGACGCAGAAACCCCGGCCTCGGTGCCTGCAGGCCCAGGAGCAGCTCAGTCCCCGCCCCTGGTTCAGACCCTGCTCACCGTCTATAGCTCCCCCTAGAAGGCGGGGGACAGGACTACGCCGGCCTGGAAAAGGGCCTGGGAAAGCCGGGGTGGAGCCATTGCCGGGGCCTCAGGGAATCCTGTTGTCCTTTGCAGGTTGGCCGCCCTGAGGAATTAGCGGAGCCCAGCGGCAGCGTGCTCCCTCCCGGCCTCATAGGGGAAGGGCTGGGAAGGCCGCCTCTGCCCCCTCCCCACTGCTCTCCCCCTCTCACCTGCCAGGCCTGGGACTCTGCCTCTTCTCTGAGCACGGGTGTGGGTCTGTGTCCGGCTGGGCGAGTTTGCACAAACTTCTGACTTCTGTGGGTAATTTCTGTGACTCCGGGCCACCAGCTGGGCGATCTGCAGGCTCCCCTCCGTCCACCACCACTGAGAAACCCCCAGGGACTGGCTGGTGGCTGCCACGTCGATATGGGGGCTTTCAGACTCCATGTGATGGCACATGCACTGGGAGTGGTCAGCCAGTGGGGGTCAGGGCTGCAGGCTGTTGCTAGGGACCCCTGGAGGCCCCCCGACTCCATTTAGAACCTGGTCCTGCCAGCTGCATGGGCCCCGCTCGGGCTCCCCAGTGTAAGGCGCCTAGCTCCCAGTCCAGCGGGCTCCCGGGGGTCTGCATCCTCTCTCCCCTGCGCCTCTGGAGGGCTCGGGCCCTGCGGACTCTCCTCTAGGGAGCCGGAGTCTACGCTGAGGCCCCTCCCAGCCAAGGAGCAGGCACCTCCCCCTCCTGGGTGGGATGCTTTGCTCCTGTCACTATAAATGATGGGGTGCCTCCCCCATCTGGCTCTCGCTGCCTTGTGGGCTCACGCTGTTGACCTTGAAGCTGGAGCAGCTGATGGAAGAGCCGCCCTCAGTGGGGCCAGCAGTGGCAGTGCTTCTGACGCCGTGCTGGGCTGGCCTGAGGGGAGCTTCAGACAGGCTGCACTTTTCTGTTTTCTCCAATTACTGAAGTTTACTTCGTTTTCCTGAAGCTTCCAGGGATTTTTTTTTTTTTGCCAAAAAGAAGGAGCAAGTAGATCGGGAGCATTTGGTATGAGCCCCTCCCCAGCGTCAGCTGGAGAGCACTGCTTGTTGGTGCTGACCAGAGGCCTCTGGCTGGCCGCTGGCTGTCACGGACAGAAACGTGGGAGAACTTTCCCTGGCTCTCTGCGTTTGATTCTTCCTGGACTTGGAGCCCTTGTGTGCTCTGTACAGTAAGTTGTGCTGTGGGCTGCCTGGGGCTCTGGACTGTGGTGTGAGGCCGGAGAGAATGGGCTTCAAGAGCCACCTGGTTTTTCTTCTGTGATGCCGACCTCGCCTTACTCCCTGGCCATCATCCCTTGGGGCTCCCACGTGCCGGGGGTTCAGAGAAGGTCCCCAGGGGGTGCAGAGCTCCACGGAGACGCCCGCTGGGGGCAGAGGCCACACTGCATCAAAGGGCAGCAGGCGAAGTTTGCCTTTTCCTGAAATGCTGTTGTGAATAAAGAGGTTGATGCCCGAGAACTGTCTCCATCTTTGCTTTAGTGGCCTGGGGTGGGGTGGGGGCCTTAAGGGGACGGCCGGCTTGCAGTCCAGCCCGCCAGTAGGAGGCTGACGGGTTCCTGAAGGAGGGCAGCTGGGGTGCTGTGAGGAGTGGGATTCCCAGGCCCTGCTCGGTGAGGCCGAATCAGATCCACAGTTCCTCTATGATTTTACCTTGAAATACTTTTAAACTTATGTAACAGCTGCAAACCAAGTACACAACTTCTGTATACTTCCCTGTAGGAGCTTCCCTCACGTCAACCTAGTTACCGTAGAACCGACCAAATCAGGAAACAGCCCTCACGTTATTACCCTGTGGCCCCTCCAGCCCCGAACGTGGCACAGGCCCTCCCATTTCTCTACGTGACCGGGACGGTCTCGAGGCCAGTGGGTCTGCACCGGTGTGCTCGTGGGAACTGCGTCCGGGCGCCCCCCACCCCGTGTGCCCCAGAAACCGCTTCCGGGCAACCTACGTGTGCGCCAGAAACCAAGTCCCGGTGCCCCGCTGTGTGCACCAGAAACTACATCTGTGCGCACCCCTATGTGCCCCCAGAAACTACCACCGGGCGCCCCTCTGTACTCACGGGAACCACATCTGGTCACCCCGCTGTGTGCACCGGAAACCACGTCAGTGCGCCCCTCTCTGGACACGTGAGCCACATCAGCGCGCCCCCTCTCTGCGCGCCGGAACCACGTTGGTGCACCACCCTATGTGCACCAGAAACTACGTCCGGCCACCTTCCCCACAACCCACCGCTCACACGAAGCACGTCTGTGGGCCCCCCTCTGTGCTCACGGGAACTACGTCCGGGCACCCCACTGTGTGCACCAGAAACTATGTCCGGACACACACCAACACACACACACACACACACACACGCCCCGTGGGCACGGGGACCACAGGTTTGCACTTGTCAGGCCTCCCCCTCTGGGTTACTCCTTGGGCAGGGAAAACCCCGTTTTCAGGTTCTCAGCCCCTGCTCCCCACACAAAGTTCTAGTTTCGGCACTGCTGGCTGCCCCCACCCCCGAGAGACGCCCTTACCCACCCGAGGACTGGGTTTGTCGCAGGCCTTGCTGGGCCCCTCAATGTGTCGTCTCTGTTAGATTATTTGCCTTGTGTTTCACGCTGGTGCTTCGCGGCCTGGATGGTCTTGACCAGGTTTTTGGGGCGTGTGATCCGTGGCCAGGGTTGTAGAGTCGGAACCACAGTGGGGTCCATGCCCCTTGTGCCCAGCCCGCCTGTCAGAGTGACCACCCGTGGCTCTGGGCCCCCCTTGTCCCCTCCGAGCACGTCTGGGTTTGAACAGGGCCTGGGGCCGCTTGTTGCCTGGTTGGAGAATCGCTGATGTGGGCCCTGCCTGGGGAGACAGCCCTCCAGGGGCTCCTGAGCAGGCTCCACGCTGCTGGGTGGGCCCGGGTGTGGCACCCGCCTCCCTGGAGCCCCTTACCAGGCCCCCCAGGAAAGGCCTGCAGGCCTGTGTCTCCCAGGGTGAATGAGGGGTGAGCAGAAGGGTCCCCAGAACCAGATGCTGGGGATGACACGTGAGGTGTGGCCTCGGGTGTGATTCTAACGTGGTTAAGATTATTTCAGACGAATATTACAGCGTTTCTTATGGGAAAATCCCTCCCAGTTAGCAAACTCAGGCGTGCCCGCCTGCGGCCCACCAGGGGGCCCTCCAGCCCTGATAAATCAGCCAGCCATGGCAGGCTGGCGTGCTGGGCAGGGTTCAGCCAACTCAGGACAGAAACCCCTTCTTCTCCTTTAACGTTAAACTGATCCTAAGTGATCAGCAAATACCCACAGTGTCCCTGCTGGTGGCTTTAGGTATCCCTGGAGAGAGTGCCTGCTGGGAGCGAGAGGCAGGGCCACAGCCCAGAGGCCCTCGCTGGCTCCCACGGCCCAGGCTGGCAGGCACCAGTGGGTAACAGCGCAGAGGGGCATCCTCAGGGGCTCTGGCCTGGAAAGGGGCCAGGAGGGATGCGTTGGGGGTCTTGTCCAGGGTCTGTCACCAAGTTATTCATCTCAAGACACATGCACCGGATGACCGGTGGCAGGGGGAACGCTACTGAGCCCCCCTTGGGCGGAGCCCTGCCCTGCAGGGTCCTTGTTCATGGTGTGTGAGGACACCCTGCAGGGCTGGGTTCCTCCCTGCTCCAGACCTTGCTTTCCTGTTTGCCAAGAGAGGCTGGCCCAAGGGGTGGGCCGTGGGCACAAGCGTGTGTGTGTGTGGGTGTGTATATGTGAGAGCATGGGTGTGCACCGGTATGAGGATATGGGGTGCAGATGTGCACACATGTGCGTGCCTGTGTGTGTGCACGCACCTGTATACAGATGTGCGTGGGGAGGTGGCAGCCGGAGCCTGGACTGTGTGTTATTTTAAAGACCCTCCAGCAACGTCCACGCAAAGCCTCTCAGACCCTGACCCCTCTGGCCCTGACCTTCAGGACTCAGGCACTCCTGTGTCTGGTGTCCAGCCAGGAGCCCCCTCCAGGGCCAGGGTGCTGATGACACGAGACTCAAAGGATCGGCGACTTTATTGAGGGTCCCGCCGTGCCTGTGTTTTGTGCCGCCCAGGGGAGCGCAGGTGCCTGCCCAGGACAGGCCAGTCTGAGCGCACGGGGAGTCGCTGCCGTTCTAGCACCCAGGGTGTCAGAGGCGACACGGGCAGAGGACGAGGAGTGCAAGGGAGGCCAGCAGGGCCCCCGGCTGGAGGTGGAGGCTGGGGGCCCCTGAGTAGCCATAGCTGGTCCTGCAGGAGGCCTCCAGCTGGCCCAAGGGGATGGGCTCCTCGCCGGGAGCCTGTGTGTGACTGCGCGCCTGGGGAAAGATGCAGGTCAGCTGCCTGCCTGAGGGCAGGAGGTGGTCGGCGGCGCAGGGATTGCGGGGCCGCTCACCTGCTCCACCGCCTCGAAGACCCTCAGCAGGTTGTCTGCCAGGACGCCCTTGACCTCTGCCTCGGTCCACTGTCTCCTCAGCAGCTCGGCGGCCAGGTCTGGATACTTGGACACGTCCTCAAGCCCCGAGGGAAGCCTGAGATGCGGGTGGAGAAAGCCAGGCTCGGCATCCCGGGGGGCAGGGCCTGGGCGCCCCCACCCCGCCCCTCACAGCACGTGGAGGGGGTGTCGCCTCACCTGGACACACCATCGTAGTCCCCACCCAAGCCCACGGCTCCGGCCCCCGCCACCTTCTTGATGTGGTCCAGGTGATCTGCGGAGAGGCGGCACGTGAGGGCCCTGCGAGAGGCCCCGGCCCGGAGCCCCGGCCGCTCAGCCCCGCCCACCTGCCACTTGGGACAAGTTGGCCTCCGCTCTGCAGGAAACGTAGTCACTGTAGAAGTTCACCATCACCAGGCTGCCCGTCTCCTTCTGCTCGGGAAAGAGGGCGGCACCGTGGGCAGGGCGGCCAGGCCGCGGGGGCCAGCCCAGGAGCGGACGGCCCCGGCCCAGCCTCTCACCACCAGCTGGAGCACGTCATCGGGCACGTTGCGCCGGTGCTGGCACACACTGTAGGCCGAGGAGTGGCTGAAGACCACGGGGGCCTTGGACAGCTGCAGCACAGCCTTCATGGTGGCCATGGACGCGTGGGCCAAGTCGATGATGATGCCCAGTCGGTTCATCTCCTTCACGACACTCTGAGGGGGGACGGGGCTCAGGGGACCCGCACAGCCTGGAGGGTCTCAGCCAGCACCCTGGGACCAGGCAGGCTGTGCCGTGCACGCTTGGGTTCACACGACCTTCTGGGGTTTCTGGCGGCCGCCTGGGAAGTCCAGGTGTGGGGAAGGGCACTGGCCAGGTGTCAACAAGCCCTTCAGGGGCTGAAAGACTGGAGGCCACTCTAATGACCAGTGGGTTCCAGTGGAAGGCCCGTCCTGCTGGCCCATCTCACAGTTGAGGAAACAGGTGACATGCCGGGTCCTCTGAGGGTGACCGAGGCCCCGCCCCCCCACTCACCTGCCCAAAGAGTGACAGGCCTTGGCTGCGGGCCTCGTCCTCTCCCGTGTCCACCAGCCAGTTGTCGGCCCTGGGAGAGCAGAGGGCAGGCGCCCGAGGGGCAGAGTGGTTGTCCGGGCCCACCTCAGGACCCTCAGGAGGAGAGACAGGTGCCGGGGCGGTCCCTGCTCTGAGACCCTCCCGCCCGGCCGGCCCCCCGGGGCTGCTCACCAGGGCGTGTTGCAGCTGTGGGTGAGAGTCAGGTACCGCATGCCCAGGTGGTAGAGCGCCCGCAGGACGCCCAGGCTGCTGTCGATGGAGTGGCCGCCCTCCACGCCGACCAGACTGGCCACCTTTCCCTCCTGGAAGGCCCGCCGGATGCCTGCAAGGAGAGCCCGGCCAGGGGCAGTGGGCACCGGGCGACACGTGTGCCTGGGTGTCGGGTGTGGGGACTGGCTTCCACGTGAAACAAACCGCAGAGCGGTGCAGCAGCCCCTGCTCAGGACCGGGGCTGGTGGGCGCCGGCACCCACCTGTGCTGTCGGTGACACACAGGAAGGTCTCGGGGTACAACTGGCACATGCGGTGGATGACGTCGATCTGCTCCAGCGTCCTCTTCACGGCATCCTTGTTCTGGGTGTCGCAGGGCGTGTACGCAGACCAGAACTGGGGGGGTCACGGGGGGAGGCGCTGGGAGCTCAGGAGCTAGGCCCCAGGCACACGAGCTCTGGCTTCCCTCTAGCCACGGAAGCCCTCCCCGCAGCCTGAGTGGCTATTGGAGCCCCCTCTAAGGGCCCGGGGCCGTACGCCGCCACCAGGGAGGGGCAGCAAGAGAGGAGGCGATAGGCTCCAGCGCCTCAGGCTCCGGGCCCGACCATACCTGGGCACCCACAAAGCCAGCCCTCAGCTTGGGGATGTTGGTGTGCGTGTGGGCCAGGCTGGTCAGGTTGGCCCTCGGGTCCTGAAGCTGATTGTTGAACAGTTTCAGCAGTTGCCAGGGCAGGTCATTGTGCCTGGAGGGGCCAGGCGGAGGGGTCAGGGGCAGGTCAGGAGGCCCCTTGGACCCGGGCCCCCCGAGCTGCCTCCCGGGCAGGCTGTGCCTTCTCCAGCTCCTCTTCTCGTGGGCTGAAGACTAGGGAGGTCGCAGGGTGACTGCTGTCATCTGAGCACACCTGAGCACAGGTGAGCTTCTCAGCTGGCTGCACCCCCAGGCCAGGCCACTGAACTGAGCCCTAAGTGGACAGGTCTTCCCTCCTGGAGCCTTTCACTGGGGGGAGAGGGAGGGCAGATGCCGGCTTGGCTTCAAAATCGTGGAGGGAGGGGGAGCTTGGAGTTGAGACAATCTCCACGAACAAGGCTGTTGGCACGGGGCTGCTGAGCGCAGGCCTGGGGGAGATTCACAGATGAAAGATGGAATCCTGGGCTGCCCCGGTGGCGCAGCGGTTGGGAGTCCGCCTGCCGATGCAGGGGACGCGGGTTCGTGCCCCGGTCCGGGAAGATCCCACATGCCGCGGAGCGGCTGGGCCCGTGAACCATGGCCACTGAGCCTGCGTGTCCGGAGCCTGTGCTCCGCAACGGGAGAGGCCACGACAGTGAGAGGCCCGCGTACGGCAAAAAAAAAAAAAAAAAAAAAGATGAAATGCTTCTGCTGCAGGGAGAGGGTGGGGAAGTGTGGGGCGTGGCCTACCCTGGGGGGCAGCCATGGGAGCAGGGCACCAGTGCGGGATTTGGGGGCCCCAGAGGCCCTCTGCTGCCTCTGTCCCTGGGGACAGTCCTGCACCATTTCCAAGAAGATCCCTCTGTGCTTCCAAAGGACAGGCCCTCTGAAGTTCTCCCAGGAGCTGGTAGGCGGTGAGTGCATTGGAGGAGGAGGTGAGGTGTGGGGAGAGGAGAGGAGGGGACTAGACAGGCAGGACAAGGGGCAGGGGACAGGGAGGGCTCTCAACAGCTGCTGGGGGTCTTCCGGGGCAGGACCCGTGGGGCACATTCCTCCCTGCATCCAGGAGCAGCCCCAAGGGGAGAGACTGCTGGGAGCCATGAGCTCCAGGTGCCGGCAGGGGCCTCGGCCCCTGGGAGCTGATTAGAATTTCAGAGTCTCAGGCCCAGCCCTGGCCCACCAGTCGGCATCTGGCTTTTACCAGCCAACGGGCACACACGCCCGGGACGTGCAGGGAGCCGACCAGCGGATCCCTAGCCTGGTGACAAGGGGGCTGTGAGGACAGCCCGGAGGGGGCTTTGCTCCCACTGCGGGCCCTCCCATCCACCCCTCCTCCCCAGCCCAGCAGCCATGCCCACTCTCCCCAGGACCCTCGCCCACACCTAGTTCCCACCCCCAGCCCTGGCTCCCTCCCCGGTGTCTGTTTCCTCATCTGTAACACACACACACACAGGGCTGCCTCGTGAGGCTCACTGACAATGTTAACGCCGTGACGGCCTAGGTCATCCGGCCCCCTGGGGTGGGCTCTTCCACAGCAAGGTGGCCATGGCCCCCGGTGTGAGGTTTGACTGCTGGGCATGGGCTGGTGGTCAGGACGCCTTTGCTGACTGAGGGGTGGATGAGCTCCAGGGAGGCGAGGTCACTGCCTCACTGCAGAGTTGGGGGGGGGGTGCTGGCCCTGGTCACTGTCCCCAAGGCAGCGCTGAGCAGGACTTCACTCCTTTGCCCCTCTAGGAAATCCGGCCCCACGCTCCAGCTGCCTCCGCTTTGCTCTTCCCTCCTCGCCTCAGCCTGTCCTCCCTTTGTAGGTATCCGCGCTAAGGTCAACACCACATCTTGGAGTCTGTTCTGGAGGCTGATGGATCTGCCCTCCTTATCTGTGTGGCCTGGGTAGCATCCTCAGCTGTGACAGAGGACCCTGCCACCCTACCCAAAGAGGAGAGGGGAGGATTCCGAGTGCTGGGAAGTGCTAGAAACGACAGCCAAACACACACTGAGGCCAGCTACGGCTTACAGATGTGATGGCTGGAGCTGGTGCAGCCATATTAAATCATGAGGTAACTGTGGGAATGGTGGCCACACCATTATGGAATGCCATGCCAGGACTCCGTCCGGACTGCTCTGTTGTTGAAGCTACTTATTTGGGTCTCTCTTACCCACAGGAGTAGCTAATACTAACTGGTTTTGATTCTGTCAGCCTAGTCTTGGCCTTCTAAGACTTTGGATAATCCCAGCTCCCCAAATCCCAGCTTCCTGAGTACTCCTGGCTGTCTGGGCTCTTTGAGCTATCGTACCCCTCACATGGACATCTGGACAGCTCCCAGCACCTAAACTCGGAGCCCCTCTCCGTGTGCCCAGCCACCCTGAGTCCCCCGGAAGGAAGGAACATTCATTTTGTTGGCATATTCTACCTGCCCTTGCTGACCTGGGATGCCCGGTCCCTGAGCCCAGACCTGCCAGACAGCAGGGCCTCCCGGATGCGAGCAAAGGACAGCGGCCTCTGCAGCAAACTTCCTATGCCTGTGAGGAGACCCAGCCATGTGAGGACCCTCAGAGGCAGGCAGGGGGATGGGAGGTCCAGGAAGGAGGGGGAGGGGAGGGACCAGGGGAGGACTGAGGGAGGGAGGGAAGGGTGCACTCTGACCCCTGATGGCCGCTTCCTTATCTAGGGCTGCCCCTCATTTCCCTGCCAGTCTTATGTGATGAGACACCTGTTTTCTCTGCTTTTCTTGCAGAGCTTTTGTCCCATAAAGCCTGGGCAAGTGGGTACCCCAACTTTCCCAGCACCCGGTGGGAAAGAGCAGGTGGGGCGGGAGTGTGTGTGTACAGGTGGCGTCCTTCCCAGGGCTGGGAGAGCCCCAAGGAGTTGGGGGCGGGAGCGGCAAGGGCAGTGCCAGGCCTGCCTGCAGCTTCGAGGGGCCCTGGGGGCCGCTGGAAGGACTCCGGCTACTGCTCTGAGCTCTGTGGGAGTTGGAGCTGGAAGGGCAGGGGCTGGTACTTGTGTCTCCAAGACTTCCTCTGGCTGCAGTGCGGAGACCTGACCTCAGGCCAGGGGCAGGAGGGGGCAGTCAGAGGCACAGGGGTGGGGGTGGAAGGTAAGTGAAGGGGGCAGGCGCGGCCAGGTTGGCTGTGACATCAGGGAGAGAGTGACAAGGTGTCACCAGGGTCTTGGCTGGAAGAGGGGCAGGGGGAGTGGGCACCCAGGAGCTTGGACTGGGGCACTGAAGCGTGAGATGCCTCGGTGAGGTCAGGCCGGGCGCACAGGCCTGATGGGGTCACCCCAGGTGGATGGAGCGAGGGGTGGGCTTGACGAGAGGGTCCCCCAAGGGCCACAGCAGACACCACCCTCACCTGCACTTCCTGTGACACAGGACCCTGGGCCAGGCCCCAACAGCCCCCAGCCCCAGCCCCACTCTGAGCTGGGATCCAGCCCCCAGGGGTCCAGGCTGTGGGCTGTCCCGGGAGATGCTGAGGCCTTGGGGGCCTCACTATTCACCTCCTTCCTGCCGCGTTCCCCACAGGCCCTCATGTAGTGAAGTCTCTGGGGCCCTGAGAGAGCCCACAAAAAAACTGAGTCCAGCAAAGGGCAAAGGCCATAGTGCAGTTGGAGAAACTGAGTCCCATTGGAGACAGGGCAGCTCCCGTCTCAGGTCAAGGGCACATGAGCCTCGACCCTAGCGCCCCCCGCCCGGACCCCCGGGGCCGTCACACGGGGGGGCTGCTTACCCGTCAATGACAGGCGTGCCCTGCATGATCCTCTCCGCTGTGTTCCGGAACTGGTCCGCAGTGCAGACGGCCACCAGGGGCCAGAACCACCAGCTGGCCCACATGGCGCGGTCCCCAGGGATGCGCTCCCCTGCTGCTCCTGTGCGTGTGTCCTGACCCGCCATCCTGGGCGCCACAAGACAGAGGGCTTTGGTCCAGGTGATTGCTGCCAGGACCTCCCCTGTTTATCAGTAATCAGCACATTCCCCGCGAGGGTGGATCCATGGGAGTTCCTAGCCCCTGAGGCTGGGCGTCGCTGTCTGGGCCAGGCCAAGTGTGGTAAAACCCCAGGGGCGGGACTGGTGCCCAGAAGTGGGGCAGAGGATGGGCGAGCGCAGGGAAAGGGGCCGCCAGTGTTTGTTGTGTCCTGCCCCCAGGACCCGGTGTCTGAGGTCTACAAACAAGATTCAGTTTTGTGTACTTGAATGTATCCCTTTGTTTGCCTGTAGTTTTTTGTTACTTTTCTTGCAAGGTGGAGCACAGCCCGGCAGGGGCACTCCTGCCACACTCCACTGCAGTGCTGGGGGCGTCTGCACACTGACCCGCGCTCCGGCTGCAGGCTTCTGACCGAGCCTGTTGGATGCTGGGGCTTGGGGTCGGAAGCTTAGAGCGTTTGCATTTCCTTAGAGCTGGGGGCGCACACTCAGGTCTCCCGGAGGAGGCAGGGGCTGGAGGGTGGGGGGCACGGTTCTGAGAACCCGATGCCCAGGCAGCGCCGGGCCCAGTGAATCGTGAATCCCGGCCCCAGGGCTGGGCCAGCATCCAGGGTTCTGCTGGGCACCTGGGTGACCCCAGCCCACTCTGGATCCTCAGGGCAGCTGAGCTGTGGAGACCCTACCCCCTCGCTGGGCTCCCTGGCACCTCTGTCCCTGGATGGCTTTGGACCCTCACGCAGAACTGCCCTGTGGAGCCCAGGTCCCAGGCCGGTGGCCTCCCCGAGCCCCGACCTGGCCCCAAGGACAGGACGGGCCCAGCTCCAGGCCCTTCCTCCCACCTGGGAAGGGGTCACGTCCGAACCCTGGCTCTGCCGTCATTAGCTCTGCATCCCGGGGCCTGGGCCTCCAGCCCCGTTTCCCTCCTGTTGAAACGGCAGCTCTCAGGGGAGACTGCGCAGAGCAGGGAGCTGTCTACCTTCCCTCCCTCCACCCACCATCACCCCGGGGGGAGGGGCTCCAGGGCGTCCTCCACCCAGATGCTCGGGGACGAGGCCACCGGCCCCAGACCCCATCGAGGACTTGCCCCCGCTCCCCACAGGGGCATCCTCAGTGCCAGGCCCTGGGATTCCACCCGCTTCACCACTCTGTGCACAAAAGACCCCCTTGAAGAGTGAGGAATCCAGGACTCTGCCCACGCTGCCTGGGAACCGTAGCCCAGCAGGTGCTGGGCCAGGACACGGGCTTTAAAGCCGAGTGTGTCCCTCCGCCCCCGCGAGCCAGGACCCCGTCTGCCCTTCGCACTGTCCCCATGGCCCCCGCACCTCGGTGGTCCTCCGTGCTCTGTGTCCAGCCCCCTCCACCTCCCCGGCCTGTCTCTGCGACCCGACGCTGCTGCTTTGTGGTGGGCGATGCCCGTCTGCAGCTGGGGGGCTTCTCCCCGGAACCCTCCTCTCTGACATGGCTGTGAGCACACGTCCCCCCTTGTTCACACCGGCCTGCTCCATTTGACTCTCCGTATTTTCAACCTTTTCCCCTTATCGTTTTTGTTTCAGAGTTGGCTTTTTTTAAGAGCATGTAATTGTATATTTTTTAATTTTCTTTTTTTTTTCATGTGGACCGTTTTTAAGGTCTTTATGGAATTTGTTACAATGCTGCTTCTGTTTTCCGTTTTGCTTTTTCGGCTGCGAGGCTCGTGGGCTCTTAGCTCCCGGACTGGGGATGGAACCAGCACCCCCTGCGCTGGAAGGCGAAGTCTTAATCCCTTGACCGCCAGGGAAGTTGCAAGAGCATATAACTGTATTTTATTTCTTCAACTCATCTGAGCGCCTCTGTCTGTAAATGTGACCGTTTAAGCCAGTACGACGGTGACAGCACTGCATCCCCCCTTAGCCTCGCTACTTCCCAAGCGACGGCCGGCCGTGCTCCTCCCGTTTCTTGCTTCTGCCGTGCTCTTCGTGTTACTTTGATTCCTTTCCTACCATGGTTAGGAAGTTCCTCTGCGTGTCACTACTTTGCTAGTGTCTTCCCTCATACTTTGGAACAGTCGTATTTAAGTCTGTGTGTCTCTTTCAACATATAAACTCCTTAACACTGGAGTACAGCCCACGGGGCGTGACACTCATTTACATGTAACCACACATTTTCTTAGGTTTGCTGTGTCTCGTATACTTTGTCTCCTCCTCTCCTGACCTATGCGTTCTGATTTCTTTCTCATTTGTCTGCGGCGCTTCCCCGGCCATTTCCCTGGGTATAGTGGCATCCTGTGTGACCCACGTGTCTGCTTCCGTGGCTGAGGGGTCCCCGCGGTAGACTGACTGCTCCTTTGTGAGCACGCGGGCCCTCCAGGTCTGCCAGGGTAAAGTTCTCCTTTACCCCTTCCACCCTCCCCAGGGGGCTCCATGGGTTTGTCTCTTTAAATCTCCCAGACACTTAATTTTGACCTTCTTTTCATTTTAAATTCAGAATTCATTTAATTGCTTAAAGGATTTTAAATTCTCTGCTCATTCCTCTGTAATACTTCATTCATTTAACAGCCCACTGGAAAGGAAGGAAGTGGAGGGGCCCACGGCCCAGTTGCACTGCGGGAGGGGGACTTTCAGTGTTATTTTCTCGTTGTCGCCGTGTCACCGAGGGACGGGCCCCCCACCATCCACTCTGCACGTCACCTACGGACTCTCTCCTCCCTGTGGTGAGACTTGGCCCCAGCCTCCCACCTCTGCAGCTCCGGTGCCCGGGCCGGGCGAGGGCAGGGAGAGCGAGGCACCGTCTTGGGGGCAAATTTCAAAGCGGGGACACTAGGAACCTCAGTCATGGAGGTAACTAGTATTTTAACGCAGTATTTTTAAAAATCAAAAATTCCTGCCCCCCCAAAAAATCCATGATGAACGAAATGTGAAACTTTTAGATAGAGTCAAGGCACATCTGACCTTTCCTCTGGTCCCAGCTCCCCCCACGGTTCCGCACAGCTGGTCTCACCGGGCCATTCACATTAGGTTTCGTGACATCAGCTGCAGGACTCTCTTGCAAGTTGGTGACAGAGGCCAGCGTTTCTAGGAGCTAAGCTGAGGGCGTGACCACACTTCCCAGGGTGACCGGAGCATGAGAAGACTCAAGGCTGGGTGCACCCTTGTTCAAACAGGAGAGGATGTCCAGGACGACGGCCCCGGAACATGACACCCAGAGGGCCCAAGTCCACGTCCAGGAGGGCTCGGGCCGTGCAGCGTCTGTCCCACACCCTCTCCGGTGACTCACAGCCTGCGGCTGGCCGGGGCGCGCAGGGTCGGGCTGCTGTGTAAGTGCTCACGCTCCTCAGCCGCAGCGTCTGTCTGGAACACAAGTCACCGTGGTACCTCCTGCTGGGATCGCCACCCTATGGACTCGCGGGTCAGGCCCCCGAAATCACCCTTGAACCTGTGTGCTCTGAAGTCTGGGGTCTCTGGTTGCCTTTTTCTCCTTCCACTGGGTGCTGTTGCCATGTCCTCACAATCTTCCAAGCTCTGGGCCTCCTACCTCACCGCCCCTGGCTTCGGATCTGTGGTTCCCACTTGATTTCTGCCCTGAGCCCTCTGCCTTTCAGTTTATGTCCTTTTTGGTAGAGCTGGTCCCCAAACCACCGCTAGCAGTGGGTGTGCGGGAAGTGGATTTCCAAGTCCTGGAGCGTTTGCACGTGCCATTATTATGCCCTCATAACTGAGCAGCAGTTTTACCGGCCATGCAGTTCAGGGTCATAAACCGTTTCCTCTCAGAAAGTGAACGTTCTGGGGCCGTCCGCACCGCACTGCTGTCGGGAACCCAGTTCTTTGTAGGCGGCGTGTTGCTTTCTTGCACAATCTCCTTGAATCCCCTCTTTCTCCGTGGGCTCTGCACTTTCTCAGTGTCGTACCTCCTTGGAGACTCTGTTTCATCCGACCGCCCTGCACCCACGTTCACCAGCTCTGCCTCTGGTCCCGGGACACGCCCTGGAATCCCTTCTCTCCTGCATCCTCTTTGCCCACTCTCCTGGGCACGGCGCTCAGTCAGATGCTGGACATCCCGCGTTGATCCTTTTTGTCTCTTGTGTTTTTCTCTCCTGTTTTAGGTTTCCTCGTGCTTTTATTCTATGCGTTTCTGTTCTGTGAATTTATGAATAGAATAGAGATTCTGTTCTTTGAATTTATTCTATGAATTTCCTCAGTTCTGAATTCAAGCACTTTTATCCAAAGTTTTCTTTCAGGAATTATATACTTAATCTCCCAAGAGTGCTTTCTTGTGTTTCTGTTGGTGGTGGGTTTTTTTTTTCCTTTGCACCTTGTTCTTGTTACGGAAGCCATATTGTCTGATATCAGTGAGAAGTTTTGTTTCCTCTGGACCTTTTTTTTTTTCCATTGTTTATCTGGACCTTTTGTTGCATGTGCAGGCTGGAGGTCTTTGTCACTTCAAACGTAATAATTAAGGATGTAGCAGTAGCGAGGCTGCGGTGCTGTGGATACACGGGCAGCCTCCCAGGTTCAAGAGGGGGGCCGCCATTACAGTGGGGGCCCTTAATGTCAGCATCTAACATGACCATGTCAATAGCAGCCCTGATTCTCAAAACAAATGGTCTTTTAGGGAAGGACCCACTGGTGCCTTTTCCCCCAGAGTCAGCCTGGCCGTGGGCCAACCAGGGTTGTGCGTTTGGGTACTTGGGCGCTGGGGGTCAGCTGGTCCACGATTCAGGCGTCCACAAGCCCGATTTCAGCCACGTATCTCACTCCCACCCCCTCCCATGACGTCTGAACCGAGTTCCTCTCCGATTTCTGCTGGGTGGCTGCCCCCTGTCCACCTGCCGCCCCCTCTGTACATGTTCCCGAAGGGGCCACCTCCGTCCCGCTTCTTATCCCCAGAGACAGGCTGAACCTGACTGCTGAGGGTCCTGCCTTTCTCTGACACAGCAGGTTCTGCTTGAGTCAAGTCCTCCCACCTTGACAGACATGGCGAGGAAATGTCCATCCC